ACACGCAACAAAAGAAAACTTATGTTTTCTACTCCCAAACTTAAACTAGACATTATCTTCAATATTTTAAATTCTAAGTTCGCATTTAAAGGGGTGAGAAAGAAAATGAATAAATTATTCCTCTAATATGACGTGAAATACAATGGCCAGTTTGTCCTATGGCTCCCATCGTCTCCTTGGTTAATATTAGTTTAAGTGTTTTGTGATGTCATGTTCCTGTTAAATGCGGTTATATAAAACGTTAAAGATCAAATACTTGGAACAAATGTTACTTAGCTGAAATATCTAATAAACCAACTAAATCTCAAGAACCTAAGGGGAAACGAGAAATTGATGATGAGTTCCTAATAATTAAATAAAAGCTACTCTAAATTATCCTAAGTATAGAAAGCATAATAAATAAAATGGATAGAAATATTGGTTTGCCTCCTAACAAGTGCTTGTTTAAAGTCTTATGCTTGACACCTTTTATTTCTAGGTTATTCATGGTGGCTTGAAAACAGAATTCTTGGCATTGCACTTCATGCACTGGTTACACCACTTTTGTTCATCCTTGAGCCTCCACACCACCAGTTTTCCATTGTTGTTGTACCTACAAATAATTTCACCTTCATCTAGCATGCCTCTGTAGCTTTCCCATTGATCTACTCTTTGTCAATCCTCAAAGTAGGAAGGCTATTTGAGTGAAGTTTCCATAGTGAAGCTCTACTACTTATCCTTTAACTTTAGGACTATCTCATTTGTGTCAAAATCCAACAATGCCCATAGAAATGTCCTTCCCAGGATAATTGGCATCTGGTATGCCTATTTTATGTCCAGAATGATAATGTTAGTTGGGAAAATGAACTTCCTAGCTTTGATGAGCATATTTTCAACTATTCCATATGAGTATTTAAGTGTTCTGTTACCTAACTGCAGGATGATGGATTCTACTTTAAAATTTCCTAGTCCCATTTTCCTATAAATAGGCAAGTGAATTAAGTTAATACTCGTTCTTAAATCAGTTAAACAATTAATACCTTGTAAATTTTCTATGGATCAAAGTAGAGTGAAACTCTTTGGATTTTTCAGTTTGGGAGGAATCATGTGCTGAATGATTGCTCTATACTCCTCAGAGAATGTCAATGTCTCATGTTAAGACATCTTTCTCTTCTTAGTCAACATTTCCTTCAAAAACTTGGAGTAGTTTGGGATGTGATAGATCACGTAAATGAAAAGGATGTTGACATATAGCTTCTTTAAAACATCCAAAAACGTGATATATTGCTTTTCCAGTTTGATGTTTCATAGCCTTTGAGAAAAAAAAGACTAAAGATGTGAGTGATGTGCCAGGAACTGTTGCCTGAAATTGTGGGCTGTCTAAGACTAATTTTTTATCATTCTCGGTTGCTTCTTTGGACTGTTCCACTTGTTTCATGCCCTTAGTAGATACTTGAGTGTTCTCTATCTCTTTCCTCTTTGTAGTGTTTTCTAGCAATCGAACACCATTCCTAGTAGTGATAGCTTGAACTTACTCCATTGTTGGCTGCCTTCGCAGTCTTTGAGAGAATGAAATGGGTGACAGATAAACCTTAATAGGGATGGCGGAAATGAATGATGGGAGCTCAATAGTTACATAATTCACCGCCTCAATTGTTAATACCCGATCCGTATGTTCTTCTCTGTATCGCTAGGCAAGGTGCCATGTAGTTTGTTGGCCAATGCAGCTACGATTTACCCTATCCGATACTCTAAATTCTGTATAAAGGTCTGCTTGTTTTGCATTGTAGTCTCAGTTTTGATGATGTACTTAACACGTATATCCTCCAAAAATGACCTTTTGTCTTGTTGTTACTGAACCACTAGTGGATTGCCCTTTATCTGATATCTACGACTCAGATTATCCACCTACGAGAAGTTGGGATGCTTGTTCAAACCTGGACGATAGTTGTTGGGCAGAGCTTGTTTTGTTGCCTTTAGAAGTTTTGTACGTAACTAACCCCAGCAGGCTGAACCATGTGAGTGGAAACTAAAGGACAACTGGTAGTAATATGATCTGCTCCATTACTTGCGCAGACCGATGCTGGTTGATGTACCATTTTAACAAACTGGGATAAGTTGTTTAGCTTCTTCGTTATTGCCTCCATCTAAGATGATAATGTTGTTGCTGTATGTATGTTATGCATACCCACTGCTTTTTTTGGAAAGTCCCTATCTGTTAGTCAATTAGCTTGATTTCAGCAATCCTCTCATAAATGTTGAATGTATCATCAATATCCATAGTCATAACTGAACCGTCCGCTGAACTGTCTGCCATGTTGGGAAATTCAGGGCGTAGTCCATAGTAGAAACGATATAGCTGTACCTGCTTAGGAATGTCCTAGGAATGTCAATATTTGGACACTTCCTCTTGAACCTCTCCTATGCGTTGGGATATATCTCAAGATCCCTCTATTGGAAAGTATGCACTTCATTCTGAATTTGATGGACTCGAGATGGCAGGGAGAATTTCATCTTGAATTTCTGTATCGTGTTATTCTTGAGATAGCAGGGAGAATTTCATCTTGAATTTATGTACCATGTTATTCCGTAACACAATACTCCCAACATGTAATGAGAAGAGCCATGTTTTTGCTCCCTCCTTCAAGGTGTGGGAAATAAGCACATTCGAAATGCATCTGCTGACATTCTTTCATGATTGATAATTTCACACAACATGAGAAAAGCCTGAATTTGCTCATGTAGATTTTATATAGCTTTCCAGAAGAACTTGATGTCGTGATGATTCTGGAAGAGATTGATGACACCTAGTCAAATGTGGAAGTTAGCCTATCCAAATAACGGGTAGATGATATGAGGTAGTATTGATACAAACATTGGATTCACACAATCCCCTATTAATATTTGGCCACGTTGGCAATAGGTATATGTGGATCTGGTAGTGGTTGTTGAATCCCATCGTGAATCGGATTTTGATTTTTAGCCATTACCCTTGTTTCTCTTTGTTATCTTCTAAGCTATCTGAATGTCCTTTCGATCTCGAGTTCTAATGGAGCTAGATCAATTTCGTCAGAATCTTGCACAAGCTGATGACAATCTAAAAAAAGTGAAATAGAAAGAATTCAGGTAGTATAGTGAATAACCAAAAACAAAATGAAAAAAATTCGAATCTAATATAAACTAATAAACTAAAATTTAAGTTGTTATTCATTGACAACGGCGCCAAAAATTTGTTCAGTTGAAACCCGCAAGCATACATGATCGTTGACAAGTAATAATAAAGTGAGTTGTGAGTTATCGTCCTATAAAGAATAATATTCAACTTTTGTGTACTAGTTGTATTAAATTCGATTAATAATAACACAAAAAGTTTTATTGATTTTTCTACTACTTTCAACTACAGAAGCAATAAAAAGATTTTTTATCAAATATGTGATTAATGTATTGGATTTCTGAATCCCCATATTAATGTTATTTCCAATTCTCAACACGTACAAAGTGGTGTTTTCTAATGTTGATTACAATCAATAGTCCAATTTTATTTAATATTCTCTTTCAAGAAATATCAAATCTATGTTTAACATGATCCAATCCAATTCATAGTCCGAATTCATTTGAAAAACAAGCATTTAACAATATGATTATTTCACACGATTAGACACACCATATATACTATTTCTAACATCTATTGCCGTTGTGTTAAATATCTAGTTTTTGCCTACTGTGAATCTCATAAAACTAATAATATACAACAAATTATCTAAATGGTGGTCAATAATTCAAATAACACAATTTAAATGATTAAGTAATCAATAACACAATAAGTAATTAAATTAACTAGTATTGAATTGAAATTAACACTTAATAAGGTTCATCATCCATCCAATACATAAAAAAATTAGCTTAACATTGCCATATGAAAATTAGACACAAAATAATAAGAAAAGACATCACCTGAGACAAGGAATATGACGAAGAACTTGAAAACTCCAATTCTTCACTTTAATTTTCGACCCACATGATGAATTCTTGCTTTTTGAATGTAATAATGCTTCCTGCGCTCTCAAACAATGATAAAACTTTTCTCTCCTATTCTGGACAGCCTATGGTATTAAGTATATATAAAGTATCAAAACATTGCATATCAAAGTCAAGTGGAACAAAATACAGAATCAATTATTTTTCCTCGGAGATGAATCATGTGTATGCATGGTTCATTTTGTGCGTACGCACAGTAAACATGATCCAGTCTCAATAACTCCATAATGGGTTTGTACGTACGCAAGGCCTGCAAGCCTATGCATACGCATGATTGTACCATTTTGGGACCAATTTACGAATTCGTCCCTGAACTTTTTTATATGTTTATTTTGGTCATCTTCGATAATTTTTCATCCCATTGACTTCTCTTCACTTCCAATTGACTCTTGGCATACTTGAATCACCTTCTTGCAATTCAACCCAACTTTTGAGTATATTGCAATTTAGTCCCCACAGTTTTGATTTCGCCATTTTCTCTACTTTTCACTTGTTTTCTCCAATTTTTCATCAAATCACGAGTCAATAAATTTTTTAAAGAAATTATTTCGAAAAAAAAACTAATATTATATAATAGTTTAGTTATTGTTTATTGTATTAAAAAATTAAACAAAAAAGCACAAGTACATGGAATTGAATCCCATACCTCTCACATACAAAGTGATCCCTTAACAGTATGAGCTACACTCCCTTTTGTTTAAGGTTAGTATGATTATTAGTTAATATTTACCGTGTTTAAAAGTAGAGAGGAGAAGTTCTATTGAAGAGAATCAAGCCCGTGTATCTCAAATGTAAAATATTCATCCTGCAATGATTGGGATGTAGCTTGAGACAACGCCCACATCTCTAGCATTAGCAATGCCACAAAAATAAGCTTCCATCTAGCCATTGAGGCCATTTTTTCTAGCATGAGATTGTTAATATATTGAATTTTATGGATGTTTTACATTCTTAAGCGCATAAACGTTAATAAATCCTCAAAGATGGCTTCTTCTATCAATAATTTCAGTAATGAATACTTTAAATTTATCTGGACCAGATATTCTAGATATGGTTATAGAACTGTTAAAATTCTTTCGGTTACCAAATTACGCATACAAGAAATGTTTGATTGCAGATTGGTATGTATCCAAGAGGAATTGTAATATGATCACACTACAACAAAAATGGGCTTTTGCAACATTTGAACGACAACGTTCACTGAAAAAATGTTGCTAAAAGGGTCAATCGCAACGTTCGTGTTAGTGAATGTTGCAAAAAGTGAGATTTTGTAACATTTTTCAAATAAACGTTGCAAAAAGTGACCTTTCACAACGTTCGCCGACTGTTGCGAAAAGTGTCGTTCATTGAACGTTGCTAAAGGTGACCTTTGGCAACGTTCACCAAACGTTACGAAAGGTCATCTTTAGCAATGTTCAATGAACGTTGCGAAAGGTCTACTTTTCGCAACGTTCAAGAACGTTGCGAATTGCGAAAAGTAGACTTTCGCAACATTCACTGAACGTTGCGAAAACTCTACCCTTTGCAACGTCCAAAAAGTCTCAACAAGTGACCCAACTTAAAATCAAATCAGTTCAAGATATTAGCCCTAATGTTTTCCTCTTCTCTCGTCTCCGCTCCCCTGAGCCTCTCACTCTCTCTAACTTTCATTTTCACGGTGCAATCGCCGTAGAACCGACTCCTCACTGCCGCGTCCTCCACCGATTCGCATCCTCACAGCCACCGCCAGGTCTGCCCTTTTAAGCCCTCACGTCCAAGGAGCCAGGGACCACTACTCGTCTGCCGTCTGCGCCTGAATCACCTCTCGCTCGCCTCTCTGCGACGCATGACTCCGCCTGGCTCACCGTCACAGCCAGTCCTCCACCGTCAAACCGTCAGTCCTCACCACCGCCAGCTGGCCCGCCCCGTTGCACCCGCGATGTCAACCTGACTGCCTGCGGCCTGGCCAAAGGTAAAACCCTAACCTTATTGAATTAATTGAATAATTTAGATCCTTATTTCTTCAATTTCTACACTCGTTGGTTGTATATTCAGTTAATTATTTTGGTTAGATTTCTTTCTAGATTTGTTAATTTTTTTCATATTTGTTGGTTTTTTCATTGATTAGTAAATACTGTGTAAATCTATGGTTGGCTATATTTCGGTTGATTTAGTGAGATTTCTAACGATTTACTAATTATTCTGGTTGTTATTAGCACCTGTTGTTAACATTTGTGAAGATTTTATCTAGATTGGCATTTGTTATTAGCTCTTGCTTTTCTGGTTGCTTTCCTCCGCCATTGGTGACTCTTGATTTGGCTTCATTCAGTTGGTTTCATGTTACAGAAGGGCATTTTGCATTTCAAAACAATTCCTGTTGAATATATTTGTGATTGTTGAATTTGTATGCTGGGAAGTTGAGTTTATTTCCATCAATTTTAAATGCTTACAGATGAGAGCCATGCTTGTTGAATGTCATGTGCAATACTCTTATGCATGTAACATCCCAATTAATGTGCAACTGAAATTTTCTTTAGATTCTATATAGTCCTCAAATGAGATTTGGTTCATGGGATTTTGTACTCCAAGAAAGTAATCTCTTTTGAAATTCTTTTTGCATTCTAAATAGTGCTCAAATGAGATTGTGTTTCTTGTGGTCTTCTATAGGTTTTATTTGTGGGAGAGAAAATTGGTGAAGGACGGAGGGGTTTTCGTTGTCCTCAAATATCATAAGAAGAAAAAATGATGAAGATATTCTCGACTGGCTTCAAGATATGTTTGGTTTTCAGGTGAATTAGCTTTATGCCATTTTCCTACATTCTGTTTTTACATGATTTGAACCTTGCATGCTACTTTCTATGATTATCAAAAAATAAAATTGGGGAGTTCAGCATGATATATTCACAAATTATAACTTAACAATTGTTTTCGCTATATTGATGAGGAAGCCCCCACTGAAGAGTCCTTATGTTTGCTACTACTTAGGTATATGAAGATCTTGTAATGTGTTTGTTCTGATATTATGAAATATTGTACTTGTATTTTAGTCTTCTATAAATTTGTATCGACCCAAGTGACATTTAATTAGTGGTTCTTTTGTTTGCCAGAAATCTATATTACTTGGGTGGTATCTGTGGAGTTGAAGATTATGGGTAGGATTAAAGCAAAGGGAAAGAAG